ATACCCACGTGACCATTCAGATGCCTGTATTTGTACTAGTCCACTCAACTGTAGCAGTCATCACAACACGACTAGACTGTGCCTCGTCCTCCCTTGTCTTCTTATTTTCGTGGGCACTCAGGGTAAAGCAATCGGCCTAGATTGACGCAATGGGTTAAGCCAACATTCCGGGGCCCATGACATAACCATTCGCCTTTCTGAAACATGGCTTAACGTTTAGCGTCGGCAATAATGCGCTGAATGGTAGAATGTAAGCTGTCGGCAACCAAGTATTTTATATGGCCAGCAGTCGTTCGCTACCAACAGAAACCCGGCCGGAAGGTATAATCTAAAAGAGATTAACATCTAGGACTCCCCCAGCAATTTTATTTTTCTCAAAATCCCCACTATTTGCATAAACACCCCACAAACACGCCCATCTACTCGCGACATCAAAGTGATACGCCCTATCGGCACGTACTCGCGACATCAAACTAGTCACTAAACCAATTTTTTATCAAAACAAATCAAAATTCAAATGAATTGAAACGTACATGACCCTCGACGATCTTCAATCCGTAGGATTCATTTGCTACCTTCTCAAGCTGCACATTAATGAGTGCTGGTTTCTCGAGGTCAACACTGAGTAGGCTCTGCTGAGACCTGTGCGTATTCCAGCCGTTAATTGACAAGGCGCTTTCGCCACGTAGCCTGGAGGGCAGGGTTGCAAAGTTGTAATCTGACTGGGTCATCATGGCGGGCGCGTTGACCAATAAGCTGCCGTTGAGTGTCTCGGCTAGCGACCTGGCGTCGGGTTCTATGGTGGACGGCGTGGTGGGTCGTGAGAGGTTCTTCTTGAATTCGGACCAATCCTTGCGGATCTTCTGGACGTCGTTAGTGGTGGTGCGGAATTCCGCGGACCGCGAGACGTTTATGCTGGAGGCCGAAAGAAATCCACCGACAACGCTACTTGGACCGCGTTTCTTGAAGGCCCGGGAGACCGACATTGCGCCCGACGACCAGTCTGGAAGTTGCGGCGAGGAGACCCCGAGTTCATTAGGACCAGCGCGCGAGCGGAAACCGCCTCCAGCAACTGGAACTATCTTCTGCAGACCCGCTCGGTTAGTTCCACCCAATTCCGAGACTGTAGAACGACGGTAGGCGTAAGGACGACCCGCCTGAAACCACCAGTGATGAATTGACGCCTTATTGAACACCCAAGAAACATAATCATACTGCTACTACACAGAGATCAGTCCTTTTTTCAATAATTTTAACGCAAAACGCAGAGGAGAAAGTGAGAAACCCACCAATACGGAACGAACTGGTTCGGCGTTAGAGACGGTCGGTTTTGGAAGTGCAGGAACCGTGGGGCAAGCGGATGGGCTCCACTTGATTGGGCCTGTGTCAGCGTTGAAATCGGCGGAGTCGCGGAACTCGCTCGAATCACTGCCTCTTTCGTCTGTGCGTCGCATCATGTCCGACACCTGGCTCCTCAACTGCCCGCTGTTGGTGAGAGTGGCGCAATTCACGTCCGCATTATTCTCCTGTGGCTCCAGAGCAGCTGGTGGAAAGTGTTTCAGCAAAACACTCCATCTGAAGGTGTCGCGGCGCTCGGCTTAAAGCACAAAATTTGTGCGCAAAATTAGACGAAATTCCAATTTCAAACAGCGCAAAAAAGGGGAAAACAACTTACCCAGAATACTGTCAAATGATTCCACCGCAATTTTTGACCTAACAGTGCTAAATAAGGTGGCCAAGTCAGGAGGTCGATAGGCTGGTTCGTTTTTTTGAGGTCTGCGTGTCGTGTAGAGTCGCTCCGTGTCTTGCCAACGCTTCACGTATTCATTCACTGTGACAAGCGCTAAACAAGGAACTTTATATTAAAACACTACTGGCAATTTTTAAGTAAAAATAGCAAAATTTGCAAGAAACTCACCATTCCCTTTGGGTGCGTCACTGTCAGTCACGCGCCAAGCTGGCGCTTCGTATCTTGCTTTTCCGTCTTCGTAATTATACAGTGTGAAGTAAAGCAGTGAAGATGGTAGATTAGGGTGTGCCAGACGCAGCTGCCTCCATGACATCTAAGAAGTACACAAGTTATTGATTTTTCTCCAAAACTGAATAAAGAATGGGAAAAAAAATGACTAATCCGAACCGGGAACTAGACTCGATTAAACCACTACATGATCCACTAGAAACAGTAAAACTCTCAGCCAAATTTATTATTTATTCAGTAATTTTACATACGAATTTAGAATCGTCACAGAGTGAATGGAACAAGGCAATTATAGCTGGTTGTTTTAGCTATTTCAGTTCAGCAAAATTGACAAATTGGATTTTGGTGGAAATTCGTGCAGCGGCAGTGGTGTACAAATCACTGTATTGTTTGGATCTAGCACATAAATTGCACTCAAAAACAACTGCACTGCCAAAATCCCTGGAGTGTGTTGTTGAGAGGTAAAGGCTGTCAGCATTGCCATGCGTGGATCGAAGGCATGATGAAACAACGCTATTGTCAACAGCTGGGCATCAGCCGATCAATGAGTTAGTAACCCAGAGCACGCTATACCTCCCAGCTTCCACCAGAGGTACTCTTGTGTGAAAAGTGATCACGAACATCGGCCAGTGCTCATAAATGAGGTCAACACAACTTTGACCTTTTGTGATCCCACCAATCACCGATCTTTACTCATCGGCTCGTATTCCCACGCAATGATTGGCATCGCACAAAAGCACAATCGGCAGAATAACTCACAGACACAAGGTCACTGCGCGGGGTAGACATTGTGTGCGCAAAGTCGTGCAGCAACTGCAACGCATCTTTGTAGTTCTGCACGCCGGCGTTGCGCATCCACGCTCTGAGAGCTCTGACCAAGTTTACAAGATGACTTCCTGTGTCGCAGTCAACTGTCAAATTTCCTGCAATTTGACAATTTCAGAGGAAATAGTTAAGTAATGGGCCAAGGAAAGGTTCGCAAGCCACATAAATACGCGGCTTCCTTATACCACCAAACAGCCTGGCCAGTTATGTACTTCCTACCTTTTCGCCCAATCGAATCAATGCAGATTTCATCTGAACATCAACCAATCAGGTTACTGGCCTCCTGCTAATGACCAATAAAACCCCAGCTTTCCGGTAAGAAGGCAGTCAACATGACAAGAGTAACTTACGATAATTTACAAACTCCTCAGTGACTAACCTGGAGAGGTGAATTGTGTACTCCCAACCATTTCGCCCAATCAAATCTAAACAGATATCATCTAAACATCAACCAATCAGATTACTAGCCTCCTGCTAATGACCAATAAAACCCCAGCTTTCAGGTAAGAAGGTAGTTAGCATTATATGAGTAACTTACGATTATTCACAAACTCCTCAATGATTAGCTTGGAGAGGCCAACAAGGTAGCGGCAAAAGAAGACACTTTCAATGTGATGATGAGCGGTGATGGTTGAGCCAGAGGTGGTGCAGCTGCCAATGCCGGTGTCATAGTCATCGCCCTGTGGGGAGTGAGTGTAGTCGTTGGAGGAGCTGGCACCGGTTCGCGACGTGGTCTCGCCCTCCTCCGAATCGATAACACTGGAGTTATTCCGCTTCCTCTCGTGTCCGGTGGAGCCATTGACGCTGTCCACGTCGTCAGGCGAGGTGTACGGTTCGGCCTTGCTCAAGTGGATGGTGACGGAGGGCACGGTAAGCACCTCCGTGTGGGGACCGCGTGTTGTCAGAGCCTGCGAAATAGCATCTCCAGTCCAGTCCAACACGTCGAAGAGCGACGCCTGAGCGTCTTGTATTTGACTTGTCGTCTCGGATGAGGTGTCGGGATCACCGATGAGGCGACAGAGTTTGATCACCTCCTTTGATGTAGCCTGCAAGTGGAGTTCACTGATTGGTTTAAGTGCTTATCGATTTTTTTACGGTTTTGAAAGTGCCTTTGGCTCATTACCAGGTTAATTAAACTTCGTCTCCGTTAATGCAAAATATATGATTTGACCATTTTTGTCCCTCCTGGCTTAAAAAGCCCATTTCGAATCAGACTCACGGCTAACATTGGACTTCAAATAAAAAACAGTTTTTTTCCAGTCTGGTTTGAAGTTGAGTTGAATTTGATTGGGTAGGGTAAGGCAGCAAACCACTGCCGCATTGTAATTGGTAGAAACTAGGTACCAGGGAGGCCTGAGTGCATGCTCGTGAAGGTATTTAGCATGACTACAAACTTAAAAACAGCTCGCATGCTTGTATCGCATTCTCTGATTGGTTGTTGCACGGAATTAGCCACAAGTAGCTGAGTTGCGTGCGTGAACTGCTGCCAGTTACTCAAAATACCTGCCTTGCCTTAACCCTGCATTGACAATAAGAAAGGTTGCTAAAAAGCATTCGATTAACCTAAATACTAGTAAATTGCTCATTACTCATGGCAATTTAAATCTCGACAACATCTTGGAACAATTAATGAAGCTATGTGGAAGTGCTGCGTGGTAATTAAGGTCATACGAGATCTTCAAATTTTAAGCCTATAAAAGTTGGTTCCCGCGGGCATTTTGTTTCAATTTCAATTAAACAAATGTTTGGGGCGCTAAAACAAAAGGTGATGGAAACACGAGGAAGGACAGGGTGGCATTGCAGTGCTGCTGATGATTTAAACTTGTTGGAATTGAACAAGAAAGCTAGTTCTGGTGGAATATACATAAAAAAACGACCCCAGTTTATATAAAAGACAAAAATCGTTGCCTCGTTTGTTGTGAAAGGGTTGAAAGATTGGCCTCGTGCAAATAGTGCTACCGTGACCATTGATTTAGCGTAAGACGCAAACATTTGGCACAAAAGGTGTGAATCAGCTTCTCAGAGATGGATCAACAGGCCAGGACGTCTGATGAATGGAGTTACGTGCATCGTGGCTACAGCCAGTGCAAGAACTAACTTGCCCGCTGGACCTCCTCTTGCCACAACGTAATTAATCTCAGACAGTCTACTGACAGAGAACGTATTCTGGAGTAAAATCGTGCAGGCCTTGATTGAGTCTCCGCGTCAAGCGCCTCATGAGATGGTTTTCGTGTTTAAATAAATTGCTCGCTTGATTTGCCTTTAGTTTAGTTTTTGAGAGGAAGAAACGATGGTACCCAAGTATTTCAGACGCGCAATTGTTTTGGAAATGAGCAGAGCTGTGAAAAAAATTAGGAAAAAGTGTCTGACAAGCACGACATTTAGGTGCCTTTAAATTCTCCAAGGATTGTTGAACTAGACAAATCAGCTTTGAGCCAATGCAAACAGACATCTACCTTATACTTTGGAGGCGTTGACACACCGGGATTAGGTTGCCATGGCAACTGGCTGTGTGTACCCCATTGAATCGGGCTTGACGTACGCACTACCTTCACACTTCCAGTTAAACGGTTACAAGGCCGTGGTTTTAGAGCCATGACCTTATGCAGGTCGCGTGATTCGATTGGTTCTTGATACTTTCCCCCAAAAGCGGCGACGCCCACTTAGAATGGCGTGAAGGTGTGCCCTGCGTATGCTTGCACTCGAAATGAGTCAAGAACAGGGTGAAAACACGTTGATGTGTTAGGGCGTGTGGGTGTCGTGTTAATTGATGAAAGAACACGTCTTCTGTGACTATTTGAGGTCTAGTGGGTGTGCGCAATCCATTAATTGATCTAATCGACAAAATGGGGCGCCTTCATTCGCAGTGGAGGCGAGGCCTTGAGTTCAGTTGGGCCCCAAAACGCACAGTTGATTAGGCAACTGTGATTACTAGGTTCATGATAAATTTATAGCTTAGAAGCACATCAAGAAACCACTGAATCCGCCTCGGAAACATGATGGGTCAGAGACAGACCTCGAAGATGATATATGCAAGAAAAGCCAACTGATATGCGTGTGTGCAGCGACAGAATGTACTACCAACCGCAAAAGATACCTGACGTTCAGATAGCAGCGTCTTCCAGAAATTTCAGAAGTAAAATCCGCAACTATCTGCTTAAGCGTGGGTGAATCAAAGAATCAGTAACGTCCACCACAACCGCTGTGATGACACAAACTGGTTATTCGAGCAATTAGAATGCCAATTTTCTCAGACTCCACAAATCCAATTGGCTTCTTTGAAAATGGTAATTCGAATAGAATAGTAGTGCGTTGGTTCCACTAAAGCAGTATTTTCGAGTCTTTAGAAGCAACTTTCGATCATCAAACCCATCAGACAGTTAGTTTAGTGTCGGATTTTTAGACTGGGATCAGTAGACATGATTAAAAATGCAAATCAGATCAAGATCCTGACTTAATTATACATTTGAACCGCTGCGTTTGGACTTCCTTCATCTACCGCCAGAAGCAGCGTCTTCATAAATCCTCGTTTACTGCGTTTACAGAAAGCTTTTACCTGTTGCTGCTAAATATCCTTCTTCGACATTAGCCAATAGGCGTGAAGGAGTGACTAGTCTTTGAGAACACAGTAAATCGATAAAATCAGACCTAGCCAGATTTGAGCAGTTAGTTTTTCAGAGCGCTTACAAGTCCGTCGTTTGCTGCTGAATTAACATTGACAAAAGAAATGACCTAAGAACAAGCCGTTGACTCACATTCAACGAGAGTTGAACAGCCCGGTCCATGACGCACTCAGATTCAGCTGAAACCTTCTCCCGCAGTGCTGACAGGACGGGCAGTTGCTCCAGATCGCCTGTGAAGGCCTTGCCAACGTCGTGTGCTTGGCTCGGCGTCTGAGACGGAGAGTTGAAGACCTCGGAATTGGAGTAGGTGCTGCTTCTATCGTTGCTACCTAGTCGGCTTCTACGACGCTCGATGATGCGAATTGGAGGCTGGGTGGTGGGTGCGTTCTTCAACCAACCCGGAGAGAGGTAATGTGCCAGGTAGTAGCAGAACGCGGCTTTCCAAATCGCCGGAATCAGGTGTTGTGAGGCCAACTAAAAGAACAATCATGCACACAATGACTGCAGGCTGGCAAACCTAAGTTAGGCAGAAATTCAATTTGGCCGCGGATTTGAGATAGCCAATAGAGATGCTGGAATCGTAGATTCTGATTTCATAAACTGTTACGTTTTAATACACAATTGGGAGTGCTAAATGACACCAGTAACTGGGAGATATCACTGCTGCTGAATGATTCCCATCGAATTTCAAGCACTAAAAGGCACAACAGTAAAAAAGAGGTCTGTAGGTGGGCTGTTATCTTACAAGGATGTAATTTCGACCAAGATCTTTCTATCAAGTGTCCAAAAAACAAAATACTTACACCATCAATTGCTTGTAGGAATTTTGTAGATCTGCTAGTACAGCCGAAAGCCAACTTCCTGTCAATTATTGATGGATAAAAATTTGGTGATTTAGCGTACAGAACTTGGAAAGAATCGTGTGCGCACAAGCAAGGATAGCAACGGTTTTGATAAATTAATATGGATGCGTGTTTTGGAGACAAAGGAAGACAGGATGCAACTCGCAAAACCCTTGGGCAACGTGACCTCCCCAAACAGGTTTAATGAGCAGCAAGTGAATTTTTTCACACTTGCAAATTTACATTGGATTTGTCGTAAACTGCGACAGTTCCCTGCCAAATGGTGCGCTAGTTCATGCAAGCTGATACCTACAGAGGTGCGGAAAAGCTACTTGGGTGGAGCGATCGATGAGGCAGATCTGTATCGAAATGGCTTCACACACAAAAGTCACCAGACTAGGCAACTCAAGCGTATAAAGAGAAGCAGGGTTTTCATAATTTTACAGTGTGTTCTCTAGCCATGTGTTAGACATACTTTGAGCCGAAGGCCATATACATAGATATGACTGGTAGGTTGAAAAACTTGGCAGGCACCTCAATAATTTTGAGGGAGCGTGGGAACAACAAGGCGAGATACTTTCCCTTCCAATAGGAAATCAGAATTGCTATTAATTGCATGCAATGACGCATTTCTAAGTACCAAACACCCGGATTTATTACACTTTAATAGGAAATGTTGGAGATAATTGTATGGATCCCGTCACATGTGTAATAAATATACACAGAGAAGCCACTGAAATTCACACGATACATGCCCACGACTAGTTTTCTTATTGCAGAAGGGCAAATTTCCCACCGACTTCTTATGTAAATTCGGCTTGGGTTTGAGTGGGATGGCTTTAACGATTTCCCTTCGGCACCAGGAATTGCAAATGGCACTGCAGAAGCACGCGGCGAAGTCCCTTTCAAGAGAAGGTTTAAGCCCGAGAAGTAGCCAGGTGCAAGAGGAACTTGGGGTTTAAATTTTCACACCAACATGAGGCCATAAAAATGTGCATCATTTCAGTTTCCAACACACGCGATATTTTCTAAAACACAGGTACCGTGTTTTTGTCTTGAGGAAAATCATATTAGACAACAAAAAAGCTGACCTTTGACTTTTAAACGGCACCACCTTTGACAATAGTTACTTCGTCAAAACTGATCTTGCACCAATATCACAAGAAATGGTTCATTTGACACGATTGTTTTAAGAGGAAGACGCTAGAAGAACCTCATCATGATTTGATGATAAATGTACACCTAGCCAAATTTTATTGGCCATGTAGCGTGGTTTAGAATTGCGTGATCGCGTAGGCCAAACAACTAGTGGTGTGTGGCAAAGCATAAATCAAATTGACGATTTGATTTTTAGCTTCTTTACTGCATAAATCTTTCTTAAATTGGACACCAGGCTTGCTAAACACGGGCTTTCACAGGTATACCGTGTTTGGTTTAACACCGCGCCGGTTCATGGCAGTTTAACAAGCGAATGCATTTAATTGCAATCGTGGATTTTGTGTAAAACACAGTAAATCGATCGAAAAATAACTTTGGGTGTTTGGGTCCATTAAAAGGAAGGAGCTACTTCTTCTGATTGGCTAGGAGACGAAAAGCACGGTTAGTCAGAAGCCGGATGTAAAACTTGGAAATGGGCAGCCTACACGAAAGCCGCACAGATAGGCACGTAAATTGACGCCCGGCTATTTTGGCTGTCCAAGATATGAAAAGAATTTTTGCACAGACCTAACCGGAGAGTACAGAAGTAACCAAAAGATGCTCATTTGAGAAATTTTCTCACGTAATGCAACCAAGTTTGTTAAATAACTCAGCCATGAGAATACAGCTGCCAGATTAGTGCATTACTCTGTGCAGTCGTTTTTTTTGGTTGAAATTTGCTTACTTGCGACAACTGCGCAAGTTGATACGACAATGACGCAGATAGAAACTCACACCGTTATGCCGCTTATTTTTCGGGGACGTCGTGTTGACTTTCTTTTCAATTAGCGAAATTTGTGCTGACCGTGCAAATGCGGCTTGTCAACTCCCCAGATCATCAAAATTTGACTTTCTTCATTACCAAACGACTGTCCGATTATTCAAAATGCACATTCGGATAAATTCAATCGATTTACCCAGTACCCTGTCCAATATGCAAATTTCACTCTATTCCCTCGGGCCTGGATAAAGCTCAAAACGCTTTATCTTCTTCTTCTTCTACATGGCTTTTAGATTAGAGTGCCGAATGAAGGTTGGTGAATTTCGAATTAGGCCGTGAAGCAGCAGCGCTGACCCCAGTCGGCTGATGACTTTCAAACTACGTGTATAACTGCGTAACAGTGGAGAAGGCGACACCATCTACACTTGTCCTGAATGCTCATAACACGCATCCACGCACGCCGCAATGCAGGAAAGCGTACTGGATTGCGATTCTACAGGAGGCGCGATATTTAAGGGATCTGAATCTGATGGGAGCTTGGTGTCGTGTGAAACAAAACAGTTTGTTAAAGCTAAAACAAGGTTACTGAGATTGATTCCATCGTTCTGACCAGCACTGTGGCCATGTAAATATTAGATCTTGCTACCAAGCAATTCTGATCAGATACTGCAGACACCTCCCTCGTTTTCTGCAAGCGAAAGGTGCATGGAAAACCTCCATTTGAGGATGTGACAAACTGGTGTACTTTTCTTAATACCATAAAACGGCATGCAGAAGGAAGCATGTGTGGATTACTAAGCCGGAAGCGTGTGACCCATTCGAAGGCATAAAGTACAATCAGGTGACCTGGGCTTCAGCATGGAATCGCAGATCATTTGAAGGTCAGCTGCAAGGTCACTATTGAGCCACATTTAGAACAACCGACCCCATGACGCAAGCATAAATCCTGAGGCTGTTTGTGACAGACACGTGAAAAAAAATGAGCCTTATGTGAATGAGGCATATTCTAATTGTGTTCAGATCTTACTGTCAGTAATGAGTTGTGTCACGTGCCATGCTAACCACTTTCTACCACAAGGAATCAGCTCTAACGATTTAGATACATTTAGATTCGTTCAGTGACCTCGTGCCATCTTACAAACAACTACTCGATTCCATTTCGACTCACCTTCTAAATTTATTTAGCAAAAAACAGAGTGGAGTGTAAAGGCCTTGCAAATTTAAAAATAAATGGTAAGCAGATAGGAAAGCGATCTCAACCACCAATCAGCTTCATGCAATTTTCCTCGAGTCATCAAGCATACGTGAGGTTTTGCTTTAGCAAGGTGCAGGCAGATTCCATTATAAATATCCAATTCGGACCGAAAATCATTTATTGATTCGCCCAGTGAGATACTGAGGCAGGCAGATAGGGAGTGCCCTGCATAATTAGCGGCGTTCGATGTGAGTTCTCCTAGCTCAACACATCTGATTTTAATCAGAGTTAGTGCAGACCATTGAGTTTTAACCGCGATGTGATGTTTCCTTACAAAAACTAGAAGATTTCACGTTTAAGGAGCATGCCGCAGAAATAGATTTGATGGGTTAATTTGCGAGCATTGAGCAAAAAATCGATATAACGGAGCTTTTAAGTAACCAGTACCACAAGCGTCGCACATCACTTCCTATGCTTCAAGCTTCTGAGGCGATGAATTTCCGGCCTAATCTCCACAGTGACATGCTTTAACGCGGAGCCCAATGAGTCAGCAATGTTGACTTCGAAAAAGGGTTTGGGGAAGTTCAATCGATCCTTACTCCTGACCCAAGCCCTCCCTTCGAAGTGTAAAGGTCACGCGAGGTCAGACTCGCGGTGACGATTGATGCAATTTCGGCGTGTGCGTAACTATGTCGGGACTGCGGCTGTGATTACGTAATCTCAAAGGGGTTTAAGAAACCACTTCTTGCTCAATTTCCTACTTCCTAAGAGGTTCATTTGTGATTAAGAAATCCCAGAATAGACACGCAAATACGTGCATGTGAAAGCGCGAAAAAAACGATCTCAGACAAGGTCGCAAACGACAGATTTTGTGGCTGCAGGCTGACAGAGATGCCGTTGGGCTTCAGCGGGAAAAGGCAACAATGGCCTGCTTCTAAACAGGGAACAACTTGACAGAATACAAATTTTGACGATGTCGGCTTCGAAGGGGGATTAGGAGGGGTTCAGTCAATTGCCTAAAACTTACCCCAGAGCCCCCTTCCTAAGTCAAAGGTCATACGAGGTCAAATACGCGGCGACGAGTGATGCATCGATGCATCGTCCAAAAGATATGTTTAATCCAAGTGACGATTATACCAAGCTGCCTATAATTTCTGAGCGTTAAATACACCTTCATGTGTCTTCCGCTACTCTGAAATGATTGGCAGGGCTGGTAGACGGAAGGTGCATAGTCGCTCTTTCGTCATTAAAGTCGCAATACCCTCGCAGTTAACTAATCGCTACAGTTAGGAGTAAGTCACGTGGAAGGTTTAAACAAGCATATTCACATTTAAAGGGGACTTCACGCTGCTACAATGCAGTTGACAAGCAGTATGTATCGAAAGTACTATGCCATTTACTTTACGAAAAGGTACATTTAAACTACGCGGCAGCGGGCCTTTTGCACTACCGCAAATTCTAACACTTGCCAATCGCTTGCAATATATGAATCAGACTGAAATAAGGATTTATCGCTTGCTTTCTTGAGATATTTGCATCGGAGCAGGTGATTTTCAAGGTAAGTCGTGTGCTGAGGTTAATATTCACTTACACACAAGGCTTGTAGCGGGAAGGGCACCTGAATAAAAGCCAATTGTAATGATAAAATAACGAAATTTGATTGCTGTGCAAGTGTGCGGTGATTTGCTCGCGTAGTGAATTATCACACGGTCCCATTTAAGTCAAAGAAAGATCAAGTAGCTATCGACACGCAAGATTTCAGACAACAAAAGCCCACCATAGAATTGGGCTTTGGAAAGCCTCATTTATGGAAAAATGCAAGTCACCGTGAAAAGCGCCATGCTACAACCCTGTTTACTCCTTAATAGAGGTCATAAGATCGTGAATGTTCATTGGCTTGTAGACCGTGACCTCCAAGGTGTTTTATTCGAAAACTCACCGACGGATTGTTTTTTTTAAAGTAAATATGTTAGAAGTAGTAGCGCTGTGGCCTGCTTCAACTAGACTTTACAGCTGCAAACTAACATTTAGCAGTTTATACCAAACCACACGGCGTCCTATTGATAGAAAACGTCTTTTAGCACAGTAATCACACATCTGATTACTTGAATCGAGCACATTCTGCGGCTCCACACATAATTAGTAAATTGAAAGATTAAGGAAATTTCAATTACCAGCTGTCGCCAGAGTGCACCAGTAATAAGCAGGCCTACCTCTTGAGTTCAATTAACAGAGCAATCAAAAAACGACTTAAGGAGGGTGTACAGCCAACAGTTTGGGACCGTCGCAATGCATGTCTAGGGATTTTGGGTTGCAAATCGCGCAGTTTTACGCTGGCTTATAGGCCCACATGCTAGATAATGACATTCAAGGGTGGGTGCTGTCAACGTCCATAGACCGGTCATGTGTTTGTGTGTGTGTGTTAGCGATTAGGAGACTGCACTAAGGACACGCGTCAGCGTGAAACTGGGACCAACGATGACCCCAGATTTGCAACGGTCTGACCAGACGCGCACGCAGAGGGCGCACGACGAAGTGCTGCGAGGCCAGCCACGGCAATTAAACCAAAAAACGCGCTTTCAAATTGGGACAGCCCTTCAAATGTGATGACCAATTTAGCAAATGATCGACCGCTCCTATTGGCTATTCTAGGAACCACAATATCAACACAAAAATGACTAAAGTGATAATACTTTTCGGTGAGTGATATTAGAGAACTTAATTTAGACTGAAGCAGACATCTTGCAGCTGAGATTTTTGCATCGTGTAATCTCGACATCTGTTTGGGACTTGCTGTTTTAACGAATCTCAAGCAAAACAGTGCTTAAGCACGCTTTCAAGTGGATGTACTACGTGACAGCGGTAATTGACAGAAGTTGATTTCAAACTCGTCAAGGTCAAATTAGACGCTTAGAGGTCTTGAGGGAAAAAAACAACAGATAGGCGAATTACTCATTATCTCTGCGAAAAAAAGATGGCGTGTTTCTGATGTGTGCGGTTTCCGCTGCGCAAACCGCTCCTGATTCACATGAGTTAATTGGATTTGCATACGATATCCCCAAAGACGCGTGTAAAAACGCACACACAAACACACAGAGATGAATAAAACACCCACCTTTTGGAGTTTCTCAAGTTCTCGTGTTAGCGAATTGTTCACCTCGCGAAGTACCTGGTCTTCATTGGCACGAGCAGCGTATGCGGCTCCATCCAACTCCATGCCTCGTTTCGCAATCGATCGGATGAGGTGAGCGAAGCATCCAGCTGCCACGCCGACGTCCGGCAACACACCCCCGGTTTCTCCCCAATTATTGTCCCCACTCTTGGCTTGAGTCCGGGGAAACAGGATGCCCACCACAAATTCCACACTCGATGCAACTGGAAAGGCGCTGGTGCTGCTATTGCTCTGGCTGCTGCAACTGGAGGTCTTGCGAACGAGCGCGTCGATTCGCGCAGTCCTGGCAGCAGACCGACTGCCGTTTTGTCCAATTGGAGGCTTTCCGCCAATCAGGGGCAGTTGTGGAAGAGTCAGAAAACCCAGAGTTAATTTATGCTCCGGCACCGTCTCGGAGTCCTTGAAGATGAAGACGTACGACAAAACCGTCGACTCCACCCGGATAACATCACCTGGCTCCAGACATCTGTTGATCGGGAGGCTACTGGCATCTGTTAAGGTTTCCCAATTAAGAACAACCGTAAGGGGGCTTTCAGGCTGAATTGCGTTATAGCCAGATGATACGCAGATCCAAATAGCTTTGGTTTTTCCACCGTGGAAAGTCTTGGAAAGAAAGCGTATTGGAGATGTCACATCTGCATGACCGTTTCCATTGACGATTATATTCTCGTGAGAGATTCTCACATCCGGAGGAAGGTAGAGGCGGATGTCGTCGTATTCTGCAGTGCCCATTGTCACCTCCTCCGAGCCTCTGCGACGGATAGTCGAGAAGTTGTGCACAAGGGCGTCCTTCTCTGGTCTGCTTCCTTTGACCAGAAGGAGGTGGGGAGAGGAGGGGGCTGTGGTTGGGGTGGGGGGCATTCGGGGACTGGGTCTACCCGAGATGGGTATATTTAGCGTTCGTGGAGGAGTGGGTGCCTGTGTGGGTATAAGAGGCACATCAAGTTTCTCCGGAGTTCCTGGGGAAACTGACGAGGCCCGAGGCTGTTTTCGCAGTTCAAGGCGTCGACACAACCCCGGTGCCGGAGTCATTAACGCGAAAACATTCAGAATCTTATCGAATGGAGGCAGAGGTCGAGCATGCAATTCAGTGAACACCTCTCCGGGATCAATAACGCCACCGGTGTCATTTATGGCTCTCGAGTGTGCTGGGAGTCTACCAATGACCTCAAACAGGGCACAACCACCCCGAACATTGCTGTCTTCAGAAAAAAGCTGAAGAACAACTTTGTCCACACATTGCCTTACCAAGTCGTCCTGTTCAATGAAGACAGTTTTAAACTTGGCAGAGGGACAGACACGCTCACAGAATATGCGCAGGTATCGACCGAGTTTTCCCGCAACCTGTCCGATCTCCGAAATGGACAGCTCACGTCCCAGCCCGGGTATGGTAGAGGGCGCGTTTGGGCTCGGCGAGGTGTGCTTGGGACGACCTATGTGTGAATGCGAACTCGAGAAGATTCGCCGCATTCTCCCACTCGTCGACGGAGGCCGATTCGAATCGATGACGGACATGGGGGGGTCAGGATTAGTTCAACTTTTCTTACCACCGTCTTGTTACACAGGTGATTGCAAAGGCTACTGTCTTTTGATGTAGCAAAGCTGAGGATGTTGATGTTCCGCACGTTGCTCACAATGGCGAAGTGTGCTGATTTAAGCGTATGTGTGCACAGCACAAGGCGAGTGTTAGTGCACGCCTGTGCTGCGCTTTGATTGGCTCGCCGACGGCGTTCTCTCATTGGCCGTGGGCCTCTAAATTGCTAGCCAATCAACAAATTGCCTCGAAAACGATCTTACTAAATTGTGGAGCTAGTCAGGCATTTTCCTCATCCCTTACGCAGTTTTTAGTGACGTGAAAGACGCTATGGCGATCTCCTATGGCGGCTCCCTGTGGCATTTTAGTCACCCAAGTATGTGTGAACAGATTCCAGGAAAAGAAAGATCAAGCAAAAGTCGTTTTCACTTGCAAATTTTTGCAGATTTCAAGATAACTTAGCACACCGCGAAGAAAGGGTTAAAAAGGAGTATTGAGTAATTAACTTTTTAAATCGCAATTAGCTTCTGCATTGGTTGTGGGCTGGGCCATTTCATCACAAATGGACACTTGAATAAGTACGAGATGAAAAATTTTGCTGATTTATTTGCTTTGTGACGCAGTGGACAATCCATGGTCTGCACTAGCTCAAACCACTACATGTCAACGATAACCCTAAAAATTCGACACACTTGAACAATAGTCAAACTGGCGCCCTATAGAAAACAGAAGAAAAAGGCTGCGGTTTTCCCGTGTACTTGACTACGCTCGACAAGTGCTCTTCCCGCATATGAGCGAAAAAAGCGATGAGTCAATTGAAACAAGGTGGGTTTGCCGTTCCAACTGCACATGTCCTCGTGTGGACAGAGGGCAAGCACGTTCGCACTTGCACGGAGTGAAAAGGCAACAACAGCAACCGCTGTTCGCACAACCGACGTGTCGTGTGCACAGGCCAAGTCGACGCTTCACGAAGACGCCCTACTTTTTGCCGGAGGTGATGCACCAGGCCGTTTTTGCAGCGTGCACCAACGGAGACGGGTCAGTCGCAGCACGAATTCAACCAACAATGTGTTAAAAACAACACCTGGAGTCAGATCTGCTGTGTTGTTGAAAGCCTGCCTGCATAACGAACGCAGCACGCTCCGCGAAAAAAAGGCAATTCACGTCGGTTTGCGTAAATCACCACACGAGCGTCGACTACTCCGCATACATCACCAATGTAGGCGACAAAATCCAGCTGATTTGGGGTTACAAGATGCATACCAGGACAAAAGGATCAAATACGTGAACTACAGGCAATCAATTCGCCAGTCAACTTGACCACTTTATGGCTGGAAGACAAATTTTGCAGTTTCGTTAGGGATTAATTTTAGGAACACACGCAAACTGGCAATCAATTGATTTGTGCATGTCCAACTTGTAGACAGCAGGGTAACTTAAACCACAGGACATGCCAAAGTAACACAAAATAAGCACACGAAAAAAGGTTGGCCGTTTTTAAGACAGCCAATTGCAGAGCTGTGGCTGCTTACACCAGATTTGTCCTTGATGACGGAGTCAGAAACTGCAGGAAGCAACAGTTAGCTATGGTGAGCTTATCTTGTTTAATATAGCCGAGAATTCCTTCATGCTTAAAGGCATTCACGAGTTAAGGAAAGTGGAGTTTCCAAGAGTGCTCTTTGGGTTAAAAGCATATTCCGTTGACAAGTGGAAGATGCTGTCAAGCATCCATGAAGGAGACGCACAGACGTTTGCCCAGATTGTGCCCTGTTTGTCTACACGAATGCTTCAACGTGACGCCTTAGCAACGAAGCTAAGGTAATTTTGAAGAACCTGGGTAAGATTATACAACACCATCCACCAAGTACCACACTGGATCGGTAGCAGTCGACAGAAGACGCCAAGTCATATCACTTGGCGGCTTGCTTTCTTCTCAAGCCTAGTCACCGTGATTCTGCTTGTGTCAACTTCACAGGTACGCAAATCCGGTTAACGGACAAGGTTCAAAGGCACTCACCGCAGTTCACCAGCGGCAGGCGAGGCCGTGCGAAAAAAAAGCCACTGAAGTCAGTAGACCTCAGTTGCGGGGTTGAACACGTTCAGGTCGCAGGGCTTCATGGACAGCCACCACCAAAGAGATTTGTGGGAGCTAATGCCGTTTTCAGAGTAATGCCACGCCATTTACCTCAACAATAGCACGTTCCACATAAGGTGGTTTGTGTGAATTCACCACGTCCACTCAGCTAACATGGGAGTGATGTGTTCTTGAGAAATCTGTCGACAGAAACACGCATTGCTGTAGAAGTCGTCGACAAGGTAGTGAGAACAAAACTGATGCTCTTGTAATCAACTAAGTTGGCTATAAACAGCAAGGTGACTGGAGTAAAAAAGGGGCTAATAGTCAGCATAGAACTCTTAAAAAGAGTGCGTCAATAATAAGAGACGGTGAGTGAAACACGAACAGACAAGGCCCGGTTTGCATCGTTCCTACTTAAACAAGAAGTTTCGCCGGAATATGCTCTCGCGGCGACCTGCTGATGCGGCCACCGAATTGCTGTCATCTGCCTTCGGTTTCTCCTCCTTCTTGGGTCGCTGGAAGAAAATGGCGCTGCCGTAGAGGCGCCGAGATGCCTTGCCCTTCTTCCCTAGCTTCAACTTTTTGGAGCCAAAGATGGACGAGGGCGAAGGGTGGACAATCATGCTACAGGTGTCCATCGCGGCCCCGGTAGAGGCCTTGCACCGGTACCTAATCGCCACCTCTTCGTCCTCGTCCGCGTCCCCGTGTCGCCGCTCATCCAGGCCCATGAGACTGCACCAACTGGTTATGCTACCAGACGTGGGCGATTGGCTTAGCTGGGCAGTCTTGGACACTGATCGTTGGGACTTCCCAGTCAGTGTTGCTGCCACTGAGTTCCGCACGGCAGGCGCCGTGGGAACGCGGAAAGGCGAGGCGAAGAGGTTCTTTATTGAAGCCGTGCTGCTAGTTGCAACTCGCGAACCGGGGTGATTCTTGCGATGAGAAAGGTTACACTCGGAGGCAGACTACAATAAAAAGGCGCTGCATTCACTGGTTCATCGAGTCGTGGGACCGAGCGTACACCCGAGACAAACCTTGTCTAATCCAGGGGTGCTGAGACCACAGGCGTTCGACGGAGTCTTGCTGTCGGCAGAGTGGAGACGGGGGAGGTGACGCCGGGACAGGCAGTCTTGACTAGAACCACCAGCCTCGTCATCGTCGACTCTGGCGAGCGGAGCCACTCGAGACATCGAACTCGACGCTGCCGAATTGCGGTGCTGTCCAGGTTCCTTCGGCCGACGCATTCCCACCAAAAAGGAGCGGCAGATACTCTTACGCGTCGCGTTCCTATTTTGTAAAAAAACCAGCGAAGGAGTACTAACTGGAGTTGAAGACTTGTGGTTTAGGTTGGGCGAGAAAGCGAACTCACACAAGTCCGCTAAATGACTGTCTGCTTTGACCCCCGCCCGCGTGGTCGGCTTGGGAGTAGGCCGAGGACAGGGAGGAGGTTGAAGCAGTCGCCGTTTCTCCCTTGCTGCCAGCGCCACCACGCGATGTTGGCGGCGGGTGTGGCAAGGAGGCTGGCCACGGTCCAGAGTGCGAGCAGCAGGAGTCCAGGGAAAACATGTCGTCCTCCTCCAGGTCCACGCCTTCGCTCGTCTCGTCGTCTGAGGCGAACTCCGTGACAACGTCTAGCCACAGGTCCTTCTGGCTTGGCGTGCCTCGAACGACGACCGTCGGGGTGAGTGGGGGCGTGGTGGTCGTAGCATGGGAGGCAAAGCTCGTGTTAAACGAGTCCTCTCCATCGTCCGCCTCGGCTTTCGTGTCAACGTGATTAGTGCACTTTGTCATGGAGTGGATCGGAGTGCATGTAGCCGCTTTGACGGCGTGGGATCGAAGCTGAAGTATCAACAAAATCAACAGCTACTGAAAAAGGCCAGTTAGAGATAACAAGCAAATTTTAATACCAACTTACGCCACCAAAGAGCGAGCCGAGAACCGATGGACGCGAGGGCGTGGTGAACTCCTGCGGAAGGTGCTCCTCGTCTTCGACAGTTGGCTTGAGCGAGACGGCGGACGAGAGGGCAGAACCCGAGGCGAGGTCCAGAGGTATCGGCGCGAGCACACGCTTCTCGACGTGCTTTCCGCTAGTGTGATGCGGGGCTGTGGAGGTGGTGGAAGGCATCGCGGACGCCGTCACGTTGGTCCGTGCGTTCGGCAGGCGTCTGGGCGTCTTCATGGATATCGCGCGACCCAGGTGACGCGGGAACCTGATAATTCAATGCCAAAAAAACGTGATTGGTTGGAGTAGTTCCATAAAAAAATTACACACTCCTGTGTCAAGATTTGTTACTCGTGGTTTTGCGATTCTGGCCCCATCAACCAAAACACCGTGATTCACCAGATGAGGATAAAAAAGATAATTGCAAGATATGATTCTTGTTGAGATTGGTGTTCGTCTAACGTGTGACCAATCATTATCTTCGAATGACGACTTCGTAGACGACGTATGTGAGGCACAAACCAGTGATTAATGCCTTCTCATTATGCATAACATAACAATGGGAAACCACGTTGACTGCCACGTTAGACCTCTCATAAGCCCATAAGGTTTTGTTACAACACGGGCGATGCTTTTTTCTGCTTACTTTTTTGACTTGAAAGAGGAATTCCCCATGCTGCTGAAGACGTTGTCCAAGTCGAAGTCCAGCACTACGTCGGGTTGCATTTCCACGAGCAGGTCCTCCGGGCTGCTAGCGACGAAGGAGACCTGCAGGATGCTGTGGCAGAGGCGTCGCAGGAAGGTGGTCTTGGCCATGTGCACGCAGTGCTGCAACTTGGTGAGCGCGCTGTCCACGCCCTCCTCATCCTCGACAGTCGAGGTCGTGGAGTCGCTGAGGTCCTTGAACGAGGCCTGACGACAGGAGCCGCCGGCGGTGGCCGCAGCCACGGCCGACTGGACGGCCTCCGGACACTTGCCGGACGCCAGGGCTGCCGTGGCGGCGAAGCTCGCCGCCAGACAGAAGGTGTACACGTGGTCGAACTCCTCGGAGGCACCGCGAACGATGAGGGAGAAGGCGGCGCGTTCTGGCGACATTGTGTTGAGATCCAGCACCTACGAAGAGGGCTTGGTGTCAGGGGACTTAGTAACGTTAGACCGAAACCACACCGACCAATCACTGGCACGTACACGCTTGACGTCCTGAAGTTGGAGAAGGAATAGGTGGGTGAAGTGGTGGCGCTTCTTGGCGTCGAGTCCTCGGCCGAATTTGGATATTCCTGAGGCGCCCGAACCCGCGCGCGAGACATTGCCACTTCGCCGGTCAGAAGTCAGCGAGGAATTGTTCAGACTGGTGGTGTCCGCGCCACCGACCTCGTCGCAGACTCCCGTAGAGGAGCAATGAGAGCCACCTAGGAGAAAACGAGAAGTCCCCAGACGTGGTCTTAACGGACGGATATTTGATGGAGTTGTGTTGGAGCTTACCTTCGACAGCAGCCAATGCCGCCTGTATGGCATGGAGGTCGCCTGTGTTTCGTTTCTTCGGGCGTGCCACCTCGAGGCAATCAGTGAGAAGGAAGAGTGTGACGGGCTCGCAGATTGGCGAGCCATTTGCGCTCACATCTAATTGAAAGACATTCAGCTGGCAAACGAGACTGCGTGACGACGACAGCATCTCGGGCTAACAACGGACAGTAATAAATAAAGTCTACTTATAATTTGCAAGTAGTAGCTTAAATCAACACAAGCTAGATCATGCTGGGCTCCAGGTGGTAGAGACTAATTTCATTAAAATTTGATTCGTTCCTAGCGAAAAACACTTGTCATTTATGGTAGGGCCCTACTATTTCCGTTAACATGCCAAATATTCATAAAAACACGATGGCAAGTGACTTAAGTGTAAACAATACGAAAAACGTTCAAACTCGGATGGGCTGGTGGTCGATGAGAATTTAAAGTAGCTATCCTAGTTCGTCCCTCTACACAGCTGCCTACCGGGGCACCACAGATGTCGTGGTAGAGAGTTAGAAGGGACATGTGTTCTTCATTCTTCTTCAATCGAACGTTGATCTGCTCCAGAATGTTGGAGAGCCTTGAGGTGAATGTCGACATGTCTTCGTGATCGGGGTGCGATGGGGGGGTGAATTTGATGATACCTGCAAGGCAAACAGAAATAGGGTATTCACCCGGGGTCTGTTGTTGTTGTTGTTCAGTGCGGAAAATAAACTGGAGTGGCGAGGAGGAGGCTACCTTGCATGAGCAGCAGCATGGAGGGCAGACGCTGGACTGGACGCACCAGGAGGTCGGAGAGGCTCTGGCGCCCGGACTCCTTTCGTCGCTCGACTTGCCGCATGAAGGCCAGGAAACGCGGGTACTCACGACCCAGCTGGTGCAGGTGAGGGGCGTTGTAGAACTGCATGTAGTGGCTGTAGACCTGCAACAGGGAAGAAGGGGGTTCTTGGTTGGAAACGGTAGTAGACGGCATCAGAGAGCCGCATGCAGCTCGTTCATCGCCAGTTCCAACCGAGATTTAGATGAGTATTTAAGGGGAAACTGTGCCAATATGATGTTTCAATCGCCTGAATACTAAGCAACGCACAGTAAACACAGCGCATTATAAATTCATTCATTCATTCAGATTCAATTGGAGTTCAAGCGCTGCAATATTCGCTGAAGTGAACACGCGAAGTACAAGAGCAGCGAAGCAGCTAATCTCATTCCGAAATGGCTGATCTAGTCCGAGATGACACAGCTTTCATGTAAGTTTCCAAGTACTGCTCGAAGTTGGCGTACCTTTTCCATTTCGTCGATATAGGGCAGGAGTACCTCCCCCAGGCGGCTTGTTTCCATACTCCAACTGGACTCGAGGTCTGTAAGACGGGACTGGAGACGTTTGTGCAGTTGGTAAATTGGCATCAATTTGCCGAAGACGATGTCAGCCTCAGCTCTGGGGATGATCGGTCCGCCGACTTGGTCCTCTGCGATTACTTCCTACAGTCAAGAAAACAGAGCGAATACAATCAGGGCAGGAGACAGTAGCGGGTGGGTGGTGGTGGTGGTGGCGGTGGTTGGTGGTGGTGGCGGTGGTTGGTGGTGGTGGCGGTGGTTGGTGGTGGTGGCGGTGGTTGGTGGTGGTGACAGCTCAAACAATCATTCAGGTAAATCATCTTGAGCACACGAAGATTTGAAACATGAACTCCTGTGAAAGATAACACCACGAGTGAGACTTGTGCTTCAGGTCATGGGGTTGGAGAGTAAAAATTAGGTTTTATGATATGAGGATTTAGAAGTGGCAACATATGATATTTAGATAGGGTGAGTTCGAACCGACAGAGGTGCAAGGTCACGGAACGAGAGGTTATTGTGACCTGGAAGGACACACTCCAAAAGAACCTTGAACCCAGTGCATGCACTCACAGGTGATCATGTAAAACAGCTAGATCCAAAAGAAGGGAGGTTGTGCTGAATTCATGTATTACTATGAGAGAATTCGTTGTGAGAATAAGCTGGCAAAATTGAGAAAGCTTCTGAAATCACTCCCCAGTTACGAATAAAGGGGGTTTGATTTCGTGCGTGCTGCTTAACGTAAGCACTCGATTAGGAGACGAACTCACCGAAAAAGCCGCTTGCGTGAGATACTCCAAAATGCTCAGGTAATTGCGTTCAGTGAGGAAGAACTCAAAAACCCGGTGCTGCCTGTCCTTAAGACGAACTTGTACGGGTGTCTTCTTATCCGGTGTACTCGGTGAGCCTAGGTTCGTGTAAAAAAGAGGATAAATCCCTATGCAATTCTGCACTGAAGCCACAGAGACTTAACAGATCTGCGAAGTAATGCGTCAAAAAGAAGCAATTGAAGAGAACAAACTGACTCACCAAATGACGACTTAAGTGCTTCTAGTGGAGTACGAGAAGTGGCGGGGGACGCCGTTACACCGCCAAGTATATCCGACGGCTGCGGTGTTCTGGATCTTGATGGTGGTTGAACGCGTGGTTCAGAATACGGAGCAGAGGCGTTGTGAACTGTGGGTGACGATTTCGGTGTTTCAAAGAAGAGAAGCGACTTAGCGTCTCTAGAGTAGCGGCTGCTGGTAGCTGCAACAAGTAGTGGGTCGGCTAGTTGAGCGATCACTTCTTCTCGGGTAAAACGACGATCCACTGGTGTTGTTTCGATGCCTTCATTGATATTTCGACGTACGGTTCGTTGTTCAGCCTCCGATGGGGTGTTGACGGCTAAATTGGGCAAACAGTGAGTTAAGTGATTGCTCAAAATACCATCCTTTCCAAGTGTTACCATACCTGTCTGTTTGTTTTCAGTGGTCAGAGGCGAAGTGCAACTATGAAAAGCCAAGTGGCATTCACATGACTCTCTACACGGATCGACGTTCTCCTTCCCTAACGTATTGGTTGATGGCCGACAGTTAAATTTAGGTGAAAAAGGATCTGTGGAAGCACGTTGGGGCGAAAAAAAGGAATCGTAAGTAGACTCGGCTGAGGGGGCATCTTGAATGTATAAGAATTCTTGGGGATGGCAAATGTACGTCGATTGCAGAGACTTCCAAAACCAATCAAGACGAAGGACAGGCACGCGGAATGCCACCTCAGTTAGCTCGGCGTGCAAATCGGGGTCGATTGCAGACACACCAGATCTAGGGGGAGTTGGTGTAGGGGCTGCGGAAGAACTAACAAGAAGCGCACTCATATCCTACAAAAACAAAAAATTAGGGGAAAATATAGAGGGAAACCGTTTTGGCATAGACGACTTAGAAATTCGGCAGTTAAAGCTTTTGAGCAAGACCAAAATTCGGAGAGCAAAGGTAGAATCAGAACAGCTGCAATATCAGGTGATAAAGAGCAACGAGTGTAAAATCGAATATAGTAAATGGGGATAAGGTTGTAGCAGGAAAAAAACAGAAAAAAGTGTACTAAAGGCAGCGCAGTCAACGCATTTTAAGCCAATCAATCTACAAATATGTTTACTCAATATGACAACAAAAACACCAACTAAGATTTTATCAAAAGAGTTTACGGAGAAGTAATCAATTAAAATACGATGAAAATGGTTAACTCACGACCGTTTCACCAAGCTTCTGCCAGTCATCTGCAACAACAACGTGGGTAAGGCATTCATCATGAAGGTCTTTGGCAAGCTTGCCATCATGTTCCGTAACAATAGCCTTAAGTTCAGCTAGTGTTTCACTCTTTTGAGAAAAGCCACAAAAATATAAGCAGCATTCCTGAAACACTTTTGCACGATGCTGATTCTAAAGGGCAAACAAATGATAGAAATAGCAGAAAAGGGGATGCGCTTAAAGCAAGAAGATGACGTACAATGAATTCGATATCGCAAGCGTTGAACTCGGGTTTGGAGTTTCGCAATTCCCATGCACTCTCAACCCAAGAAATGCTCATTGTAGCTACATTAACGGACGCTAATGCAGCCTTTCGGACCTTTTCACCGGCACAGCGGTAAGCGATTAAATGTGTCACACATGAGTCCAATTTTCTTCGCATGCTGCCACCCATCCAGTTCACCAAAGATGCAATCCGGTTCTAGGATGTGAAGACCTACGTACTCGAACTTACCACAACAACAGGATCACGAAAGCCAGTGACTGCTACAATGGCATCTGTCATTGAGAAACAGTAGACGGGCCGGCATTTTGTCCATCGTCGTTTGTCGAAACGCATAGCAAACAGGCTGGGCAAACCAAAAACACGAACATTCCTTCCACTCAACTTAAGAGATTTAATTTCCGCAGGGCTTGGAAAATCAGATAATAAAACTGCCTCTGGGAGATCGTCACAGACTTTCTTATCATTTAACCGCGACAGTTGCTTTTCTTTTAAGGCACCGAAAGTGGGTACGTACATTATATTTAGGGACGAACCAACATCCTAATATGGACAAATAATGAAATGCACTTACTTCAATTAATTTTAAAAATAAAGGATTTGAGAAAATACCGCTACCAACAACAGTCAGTTGGGAAAAACTATCCCAAAATGACATCCGACAAATTAAACTGCGAAAAAGGAGAAATGAATTTGGCGCTGAAGATATTTATCAGGTATTTCAAGAGATTAAAAACGTAGCACAATTTTTTAGTGTTTAGTATTTTAAAAGAAATTTGCTTTGAATCTGTTCAAGATAAAAAGACGAAAAATATTATAAAATATTGTACACATTGTTTTAGATCTTGTACTTCGTGTAATATTTCATTGTATTAAGACGATTTGTATTAGTTATTCGCCAAAGATTGACAAATTTTTATTCTTGGATGCCGAATAACAATATTACCAGCTCAAAATTATGACTGCATTTGTGTTCAGGATCAAATATGGGCAGAAACTGCTGAGTCACTAAACCATTAACATAACACAAAAGTAAATTTTAAGAAAATTAATTTTTTTTAACATTTTGTACAATTTTGTTACGGGAACAAATCGTACCTTACATAAAAATATTTGAATAAGGAAGATTATTAACTAAGCAGTCATTTACTACTTCATTGTATCTAACTATTCTTATTAAACCTTATATACGTGACCATTTGTTGTGCCCATGTCGAGTTTTTTGTTTCCTCACTGAGTACTGAGAGTTTCTGTGGAGCAGATTCTTTAAGCAAGTTCTAAACAGGATTTAAGTAGCAGAAATATGTGCTGTTCTATCTAATGGCTGTCTGATATCATTAGCGAGCTTTGTGGAAATCTTCGAATTAAAAATCATTTTCCCTCACAACCAAAATCGGTTATGGATATATATAGCACAATGAACAACGCCTTGGCCAAAGTCACGTATTTAAATATGCATACCTGTATCTAATGTGGTATATTTTTGAACATGTAGATATGGGCTCTCTTTTGTTTTGTCTAAGATCTACGTTGAGCGGCCTAACTTGTTTTGTTTAATCAGACAAGCTTAATGAACAGGTAAGAATTAACCTACATGAATGTACCTAGACGTAATTATTAATCAAACATTTTTCTGTCCGTATTTGGGCGCGATTGTTCACCAACGATACTTGTATTTTGTATTGATGCCCTGACAATACCTTTTGGATTTATCTTTGCTCTTTGTATTATTTAATAAATTTATTCCTTGCGTTTTAAACAGGGAAAAAGTTGTACATGATATGTTACTCGGTGTCCAAATTGGTAGTTCAAGCATCCTCCGAACTTACAACTTTACAATTTTTTGTTGCTACTACAACCAAATTTATTAGACAGAATCCCGTATGCTAAATTTGAATCTCAAAATTTGTCGACGCAGTGGAAAAGCATTGCGGAATCAACAATCTGCGGCGTTTCTATAATTCAGCGCTTCTGTCTGATCTCACTTTTGAAACTGACTTCAAATCGTGCTTGCGGCTAACTCCTATACCGTACTGTTTTTGGCTGACCCACGCAAGATGTTTACATTTAATTCAGAGTAATATTGTACTTATTTAGTCTACAAAAACGAAACTCAACTTTTCTTTCATATTTTCTCCCGTGCACTTGCTTCGGTTGTTTTTTAACATTTACTTATATTTCGCTTAGTTCTTTGCTTCAAAACTGTTTTAAATGCTCTTTAGCCTACACTATACTTTTAAAAGAAACTGTGTACCTGTCTAAATAGGCTACTTAAAGTCGGACAGTTTTTAGACAATGTGAGAGAATTTACATAAGCATATTCACCAGAAACAATGCAAAAACGACCTACAAATCACGAGCGTTGAACGATTTTCCTTGATGTACTCAGGAACACGTGTATCGATCGGCTCGCGAACCTTGCCAAATTGACTATACTACTTTTATTCTGCAGTGACCCAACTCCTGTCTTAAACATATATGGCGACCTTGACATTTACCATGATAATTTAATCCGTGCTTCTGTTAGGAGATGCTTTCTGAGCGTCGTTTTCAAATCAATGACGAATTGATCTTAGCGCCACCTCGATGTGCTTCTCTTTTCAGACTTGTCGCTTGCGTAGTCGCATCCCTAATTGATGTTTATTAAAATCACATCGCTTGTATACGTGTACGATTCCCCGAATCGGTCTACGGATTCCCAAATTATTGATCGTGGGGTGTGACCCTTGTCACGTTGATCACTTTTGCAAGAAGGAATTGATTACCTTGGTGAAAATTGATTTGAATACAAGGAAATGTTGCCTTCATGGAAAACTTTCATTCGTGTCCGTGTCTATGTGTGTAAATGGCTATGCTAATTTGCCACGAGATTGTTTGCAACATAAATATTTGAAAGTGCTTGAAACAAACCCACCAATGCACAGAAACCAATCTGCGCCTAATTTTATTGGATATGGCATAGCACATAGCCAGATTAATAACTCATTTCAAACATTTTTTACTACTATTACAAGCACTGAAAGAGACTTAGAATTTACCCGGGAGTATTTCATTTGACAAAAAATATTCTTTGCCAAAAAAAAGTAAATTTTTAATAGGATGAAATAATAAATAGAGGCAAGATTGGTGAATATCGCCACTAAGGCAAAGCCATTTTCCTGCGTTAAAGTAATTTTTGCCAGAGGAAAAAAAACAGCAGAATAATAGTGCCCGATGATTTTGTAAATCAATCATCAGTCATCTGCCCAGAATCTCGTATTCTGGCTTTTACTGGTTGATTTTATTTGTTACCAATGTCAATGTTCGTAATCAAGCCACATTGTGAGTCATCTAACTGAGGTGATACTTCCGATTCCGACATTTGCTGAGTTCTAGGGGTTCGCTGATGCCTCTACCAGTTTGAACAAATTCACCAGATAATTAAAGTATTTGCATCGTGTTTCCTTAAGTCCTAGAGGCGTACTTGAGAAAAATTATGATTTACTTTGACAATAAGCACGACATTAACGACTATGCTTGCGAAAAGTGGTCTTCTGGCGGTTCATCTAATTTCGCTCCCCCGCAATTCTTGAAGAAATAATAACGAATACGTGCAAAAGTGAAAAAATATGCGCACATTTTCCGAAATTGGAGTTTGAAAAACCTGGGGAGTGTTAGAAATCCGTGTTTAAAAAAATGAAGGGCATATATTAATAAACGAAACAATTAGTACTTTCACAAAAATGCCGTTGTTTTTATCACCATATTCAAGGTAGAAAGTACTTTTATGACACAACAAAATGCCAAAATAGCACAAAAAATTAAATAATTGGCTAATTGAATCCCATTGATTCGACGAATAAAATAACTGGCCAATTGAATCGATGAATAAAATTCACAATCTCCGTAGCCCAGCTTCTTGAATAAGCAAATTCGTGATTGGTTTTCCTAAATGTGAGCGTGACACTATAGTATGTGATGGTTTGTTTACGCTAGTGACCTGAAAGCAAAAAGAATATGCTGGCATTTGCCCAAGACTCGCAGACATTCCACTGGTCCTACAACCATGCCGGGATAACTTCATACAAGTTGATTTCACTGCACGATTCAGCACCAGAGAAGGCCAAATGGTACAGAGGTCAAGCAGATTATTGTGGTTAATGATTCCCGGCTTCTTCACACGTTTCTGGTCCCTCATGCGTGCTCACGGGGCGTTAGTGTGAACATCGGAGGCTGCACTGTGGATGTGTTTACAAGGATCTCAGAGGGATTAGTCACACAAGATTGTTAACCGGAGGAGAAAGCAGGGATTAACATGTGGAACGGGTTCAGGCGGTCATGCAATGAATCCGGGGGAATGAATAAACATGGTGGCCACTTATGTATGACCGTCTTGCATCAATTGGATTCATTTGATGGCAGAGTGTCCATTTAGAAGGCTATTGCTGTCACGTCTTGCTCATATTTAGAGGCTATCAAAGCTGTGCTGC